GGGCGGTGGCACGCTCACGGCCACCGCGGCCCGGACCTGCTGGGCTCCGACGATCCTTCCGCCTCAGTCTTCCAAGTAGCCGGAACCACGGGCGCGTACCGCCACGCCCGGCTCATGCTTTGGTTTGTTGTAGAGATGAGGTCTCACCGAATTGCCCGGGCTGGTGACGAACCCCTGGGCTCAGGCACTTCTCTCGCCTCCGCCTCCCAAAGTGCTGGGATGACAGGCTTGAGCCCCCGCGCCCGGCCTGAGGACGACCCGTTTTAAGGCAAGGACTTCATGCGAGCACAGGCCAGATGGGGCATAACATGCGTCTTCTATTTGCATTTTTAAACAGAAACCAAGGTGTATGTTGGTAACCTGGGAACTGGTGCTGGCAAAGGAGAGTTAGAAAGGGCTTTCAGTTATTATGGTCCTTTAAGAACTGTGTGGATTGCCAGAAATCCTCCGGGATTTGCCTTTGTGGAGTTTGAAGACCCTAGAGATGCTGAAGATGCTGTGCGAGGACTGGACGGGAAGTAAGTGAAATTCATCTTGTGAAACTCCCTTCATTAGCTCAAATAGAGCCGGGCTTGGTGGTGGGCTGTGGGTGCTGAGCTTGGATTCTGTAGAACGAACCTTAAATAGCTGATCATCATGCTATTAAGACAGGAAGGTAGGAGAGGGTGGCAGAGAAGGGCTTAGTGAAGATAGTCAAGGCTTGTGAGGGAGAAGGAGGGGTTGGAAAGAGTCCTTTTTACATCCAGGATTCACAGATCTATCTATGTTTAACTTCAGGTTTGTCCCTTTTTTTATAGGGTGATTTGTGGTTCCAGAGTGAGGGTTGAACTGTCAACAGGCATGCCTCGGAGATCACGTTTTGATAGGCCACCTGCCCGGCGTCCCTTTGATCCCAATGATAGATGCTATGAGTGTGGCGAAAAGGGACATTATGCTTATGATTGCCATCGCTATAGCCGCCGAAGAAGAAGCAGGTATTTATTCTAATAAAGGAATGGTTGGTATTCTAGTTAATCAAGTAATTCTTTTATTAGCAAGGCAGAAATTAGTGTTTTTCTATAAACTTGAATGTTAATTTGTACAGGTGTATTTTACAATTTTTGTTTAATTACAAATGTTAATATATTAATAATCAACCTGGTCAAAACCTTTCAGGTTTCTTCGTTTGAGTCAGTCGCCTTGATTCAGAATGTCACGAGCCTTATGATATCATGCTGAGGCGCCTTGCAAATCCGACAATTAAGATCCTCCTAGACCTTGAGGTGATCAGCATAAGAGGCCAGATCCCCTCGAGTCATCTACACCTAGCTTCACCTTATTGATTAAAGGGCAGAAAATTTGAGACGGTGATCGCCGTAACAGTAAATTTGGCTTACAATTGGGGCCCCCTCCGGTTTAGAAAGAGGAACACCAGATTGACCACATTCCCAACTAGAAAAATCTTCTTGCGTCAATCAAGCCTCACCTGGCTCATTTGGCTGTCAGTTTGATCGTCGTTAGATTGAAGAAAACATCTAGATGCAGCGATCGGCTATAGATACTTCTAGATCGTCTAGATCTGCTAGACCATGGGCCAAAGAGGGTCGACCTGCAAACTTGCAAGGTTTATTTTAAATACACATTATAGTGTTTTATATTATGTAATTCTAAGATGTAATTCAGTTTTTAACAAATCTTTTTTTAGGTAGTTAAAAAAAAAAAACAACTAATAGGCCCAGAATTTATTTCCAAATGAGACACTAAATTTAAATAGTTTTGAGATTTGATTTCAGCAGAGGCACACAAACTCTAAAAACGCGTTATCATCTAACATTTTGTTTTTTCTAACTTGAAAAATAGGTCACGATCTAGATCACACTCTCGATCCAGAGGAAGGCGATATTCTCGCTCACGCAGCAGGAGCAGGGGACGGAGGTAAGAGAGCCTGTTGAATTCAAGGCACAGTACTTAATAAAGAACTTTATTTGGAAATGGACTTAAAATTCCTTGATTTAATTTATAGGTCAAGATCAGCATCTCCTCGACGATCAAGATCTGTGTCTCTTCGTAGATCACGATCAGCCTCACTCAGAAGATCTAGGTCTGGTTCTATAAAAGGATCGAGGTATTTCCAGTATGTAACACTTTTCTCCTCATTGGTATTTGGATTGTCACATCTTAACGGCAGCGGTGGAGTGTTAGAACATAATTAAAATGGATTGCTTCAGTCCGGGCGCGGTGGCTCAAGCCTGTAATCCCAGCACTTTGGGAGGCTGAGGTAGGGGATTGCCTGAGCCCATGAGTTCAAGAATAGCCTGGGCAACTTGACAAGACCTCATCTCTACAATAAATCAAAAAATTAGCTGGGCGTGGTAGCCAATACCTGTAGTTCCGGCTACTTGGAAGGCTGAGGTGGAAGGATTGCCAGAGCCCAGCAGATTGACGCTTGGGTGGCCATGAGCGTGCCACTGCACTCCAGCCTGAGTGACAAAGTGAGACTCCCAACTAAAACAAAAAAATGGATTGCTTTAGAGGATAATTTGAATCTATACATGACTTGTAAGATGACTTATAAAAGTTGAATCTATACATGACTTGTAAGATGGATATCACGATCCTAGTTTTACAGGTGGAAAAAAAAGTGCTATGAAAGATTTTAAGGCTTAGAGAGAGAGTGGACTAGAGACGAGTCCAAAGCCACAAATGATCCTAATAATGAACACTGGAGTAGGCATATGGCTATAAGCTTCTCAGGTGTCGGTTTTATGTCCATTGTATAGGCAAGTCATACATACTGGCTCTGAAATGTGGTGAGTTGCTTGATTCCTGATAATGCCCATTAGAACCAGGAAGAGATTCAGAAGCATGTTGAAGCATATCTCAGTTTTGGAATAATGGGGGTGAATTTGAGACACTGGAAAGTTGTCTGGGGTGGTAGTGTACGAGTGGATGAAGGTGGATTTTAACTAGGCAGTTTTAGCACTAAGATTTAGAAAGTGAAAAATCACACTAAGAACCCCCAGCTTTATTTTGTAGAAGGCCTTTAAAGGTGATAAAGAGTTGTGTATGTTAGTCTGATTTGTCTGACAAATTGATGTGTCTGAACCGTGATAACTTACTGATGGTCCAAGCATAAAGCCTTACTGAGTGGTAGTTTTTCATTGGGTGATAAACCTGAAGAATTGTGGTCTCAGTTGAGGGGCCTTCGGGTTTTGTTTTTGTTTTAGTTTTAGTTTTAATTTAAAAGACCATTTCTCACTGGTCTAGACCCGGGCTAGAGTACATTGGCTATTCATAGGTGAGATCATGGCTTGAATTTGAACTTCTGGGCTCATGTGATCCTCCTGCCTTAGCTAGGTCTACAGGTGTGTACCACAACACCCCACTCAGGGATCTGTGGTCATAAATGAGTCTAATTTGAAAGTCAAGTCATATACTAGTCTCAAAAACCATCTATTTCCCTCGGATATTACACAGGTTTGAGAATGGTGTTTCTCTGTACAGGAGGTGACGTCCAACTGAGGGTGATAGGAAAAAGCACTTAAATGGTGGTTCCTTATATCTCCATAGCAGCTTATTTGAAATGTTATTTGAAATGACCATTTGTCCTACCTGAGACTGATCTAAGAAGACAAGTGTTGCATCTTACTCAGTTTTAGCCCCTCTGTTCTTAACCCATCTAATGAAAGGTGCTCAGTGGTCGTTTAAGGGAAATTCCTGTAGACTAATTGGCATAATTGTGCTTTTACTTTTTCTTTTTATTAAGATCCCGGTCGAGGTCAAGATCAAGATCCAGGTCTATTTCGCGACCAAGAAGCAGGTAGGGTAAATTCTGATTAATGCTATTCTAGTTATATGGCACCAATATCCAAAGAGTTCAAAGTGTTATGAATTGTTGGACCTTGGAGTGTTAATTCTAAGAGTAGGTGTTAAGTGGGAATACATTACCTGGTTAATAAACCAAACTGGAGCTTCATTTATATATGGCTTGTTACTGACTGACTTCCTGAACAAGGGAATGTAAAGCTTTAGTGAGAAAGAAGTTTGACTTTGGGAGTTGTGGTAAGAGGCCCTTGTTAGAACTCTCAGGTGCATGAAGAAGCATCCTGATGATAAATGTGTTAAAGCAGAATGTAAAAAGATGAATCGTGATCAAATACAGTTGCTGGAAGATTGGCCTTTGCTAGCAACAACTGGTAGACTTTTCAGTTTAACTGCAGTCTTGACATTTGCAGCTTAGCACAGTTGGGGGATTGTTTCATGGTATGGTGACTATAAGAAAGGGATTGGTTAGTACTGTCTCTTAATAGAATTTCTCATGTTTTGACAGCCGATCAAAGTCCAGATCTCCATCTCCAAAAAGAAGGTAAGCTAAATAATGTTTTGTTGCCAAATCTCCACCTGTCCAATGTGGCCTCTGCAGAATTGGTTTGCTCACTATTTACTTTACAGTCTTTGAGCTCTTTGGAGAATTGGTGCTATATAGATTAAAACCCTAAATATTAAGTTTCTGAAGTGATTGCTTTTCTTTTACATAAATTTATACTTTTGGAAATATTTAGCCATAAAATATTAAGGTGATTGTTAAGATGTACTTAGTACTATGAATGGTTGTAGAAATTTTAAGAAAATGCTTTTCCCCCCACATATGGCCATTAGTAAAAAGGAAGTGCCTACATGAGGAAAAGAATAACTCTTGAAGTTATTTGCCTGCCACTGCTTGGTGGCCAGAACGCTTCAAATAGTTGTCATATTTAACTTAATCTTGTAATTTTGACAAGAAAGGTATCAAGTAGCCTAATTTTAAGCAAGAACAAAAGATGAATATATTTATCTCTGGTGTCAAAATCTTTGCTATGGGAGCTTAGTGCCTTTGGTCACCTTTGAATTTACTGAAATTGAGTACATTGCACATGAGAAGGGTAAGCTTCAATAGCACTAATTGGTTGCAAACTGAATGTTTTTCTTTTTAGTCGTTCCCCATCAGGAAGTCCACGCAGAAGTGCAAGTCCTGAAAGAATGGACTGAAGCTCTCAAGTTCACCCTTTAGGGAAAAGTTATTTTGTTTACATTATTATAAGGGATTTGTGATGTCTGTAAAGTGTAACCTAGGAAGGATAATTCAACCATCTAATCAAAATGGATCTGGATTATTACTCTGTAAATTCACAGCAGTAAGATAATATAAATTTTTGTTGAATGTATTAACATCCTATGGTCTGAAAATGTGGGTTTTTATTTGGCACATTTAAATAAAATGTTTCTAACTAGATTTTTGATTTGTGTTCAATATTGATACTTCTTGATTTGGTAAGCATCGGAGTCATGTCATAATTGTTAACCATATTCATACAGACCTACTATTCAAAGTTTAATGATGCTGATTAAGTCTTGAACATCAGTAACTGTTCTATACGTAACACTTGGCCAGGATCTTAAGGGACTGAAAATTCCATTTTACTTGTAGTCTTTTGGGCGAGATGATCCTGAGTCCCCTGTAACAGTATGATTGCATCATGACAAATCCCTAAATTAACTAAACTATTTGAAGTTGGTGTTACTAGTTTTAGTCACCCTAGTAATTAATGGTCAAGCTAGAGGGACCGCTGATTTGCCTATAAATAAGCATGAGCCGGAACTAAGCAAAGCTTATTAAAGTAAATGTGGTATGAGAAGTAGGGAGAAACTGATTTCTGGAGGCTCTTTTAGGAACTAATTGCAGTTTTTCAGGATGTTAGATGGGATAGTGTCAAATTAGAACTCCGTATCTTGGGGAGTTTTTTGTTTTCAATTTTATACCAAAAAAATGCATGTGTGAGGAATTGTCTGAATTTGAGACAAAACATCTTCATGTAAACCAGCTTTGCAAAATTTTCCAGCCCACATACTCCTCTATTTCTCCAAATGGATTGCCTTATTCTGAGCAAAGACCTGTTCGTTGTCAAGCTAGGTTTGTAGTTCCCGACCATCAACATTCTATTTTGCCAGGCTGGTGCAAAGTAATTAAAGATGTTAATCAGAAATGTTCATGAGACTTAAGTGGTTTTGTAAATTTCACTTATATTTAGCAATACTTCATTCATGTAGCTAAATTTTTTTGGTAGCATCTGGTAGACCTTAGAATGTATAGCCAGTAGGTTCTTTATTCAGACTTTAAATAATCCTAAGAATAGTAGAGCAGTAACAGTTACTTTTGAGTTTTCTGGTCAAGCTTTAACCAGGCATTCTCTAGCCTTGGGGTGGGGAAAAAAAAAAAAGTGCTGGTGACACAGGTGGGTGTCTAGCCTTGCCCACTTAATGCTTTTTTCCAGCAAGGTCATTGGCTAGTACTACAAATTTATATGGTAGTCTTGAGTGACCACGACGAGTATGTTGGAAGTATTTGGATTCTTTGTTTTTGGAATTTTGACAACTGGCTGAATTATATGGTTGGCAAAAAGCTTTGTGTATAATCGGCAGGCTTATTTATCTGTTGCAATTGGTTAGCTTTAATTGTTCTGTATTATATAAAGAAGTTTACTCAACAATAAATCTGCAGAGACTGAACAAACAATCCTGAACTCAATTTTTGGAAATGGGAGCTGTGAGCCAAGGATAGTCGTTCACTCTGTAGCTTTAGGAGGGGCGACTAGCAGGCAGCATCCTAGAATCACCCTAGAAGGGAGAAAAGGGCAGGGGGGTGTAGGAGCAAAAAGTGGGTTTCACCAAGCAGAGAAAGTTCTGCCACCTCTTGGGGGGAAAGGGCCATCTAGACCAGTACCGTGTTCCTTTCTGCTTGGGGGATGCGTTGCAAGCGGATGAACTTCAGCGTATCCTCCCTTGTTTTCTGTGGTTGGGATTGCCAAGTTGACTGGCTTGAGAAATGCTGACCTGTAGTCAGTCATTCCTTCTAAATTATCAGCCAAGCTCTGAGTGGTAGCTAACTGAACGTGTCAGCCACTGTTTTGGATGCTTCAGAGGTAAAACTTTGGGGCTTCTCACTTGGGTATGCCTCTCACAAGGGTATATGTGATCTCCCCTTGATTTCACAATAGTAGTTCTCTGTTGGGCTTTGAACTGTTAATGAATCTCAAGTGAAATGGCCCTGTCTTGCTGTGTTCTCCTGAGGATGGAATAAGGAGGGGGTCTTGATTCCAATCAACCTGGGATTTGGTTCGATGCTGGGGCAGGATTGAGAGTCTTATTTTCATGTAGCCTGTCTTGAAGTCTTAACATGTTTTCCAAGACAAACTAATAAGGAACTGGAAGCTGTGAAACTCAAGGAGTTGTCACTGAAGGAGAATGGCCAGCACATAACCTCACAGCTGCTTACATCGGGCATTGGAATGCAGAGCTGGTCTAACAGCAGATCCTAGACCCGGCTGATCTTGGAGTGCTTGGAGGGTGGTTAGAACCAGAGAAGCAAAGAAATGATATTACTAAGTGTATATGTGAAAGTATTAAAACTTCAGAACTTCCAAGTGAAAGAAAACCATCTATGCAGGTTCAAAGCCTGTGGAAAAGTAATAGTTTCAACAATATCTGCAACAGTCAGGTGTAAACCCATTAAAACTTCCGTTTTTCACGCCTGTGTTTAGTCAAGCTGTCAAAGGACATCGTCATCTAATCACCACAAAATTGTCCTGATGACCCCACCTCAGAAGAGGAAATGGGCTCAGAGAAATTCACTCAGGTTTAATCACCTGGTAGGAGGCAGGGAATGATATTTATTTATTTATTTATTTTGAGGTGGAGTCTCACTCTGTCGCCCAGACTGGAGTGCAGTGGCCGCTCCCGGCCACCGCAGCCTCGACCTGCTGGGCTCCAGTGATCCTTCCGCCTCAGCCTTCCAAGTAGCTGGAACTACAGGTGTGTGCTACCACGCCCAGCTAATTTTTTTTTGATTTATTGTAGAGATGAGGTCTCGCCAAGTGCCCAGGCGGGTCTCGAACCCACGGGCTCAGGCAATCCACTCACCTCAGCCTCCCAAAGCATGGGATTACAGGCTGAGCCACCGAGCCCGGCTGAATGATATTTATTTTTGAGTCAGAGTCTCACTGTGTCACCCAGACTGGAGTGCAGTGGCACGCTCACGGCCACCATAGCCTCAACCTGCTGGGCTCTGGCAATCCCACCCGTTTCAGCCTTCCAGGTAGTCAGGTAGTACCATCACACCCAGCTAATTTTTTGATTTATTGTAGAGACAAGATCTTAGGAAGTTGCTCAGGCTGGTCTCGACCTCCTGAGCTCAGGCAGTCCTCTTGCCTCCACCACCCAAAGTGTTGGGATTACAGGCGTGAGCCACCACACCTGGCTATACCCTTGTTTTTTAACAAGTCAGTAAAGCACCTTACTGCTCTGTTAAGGCAAATGGAACCATATTATAGAAAAATCAGAATACCAGAAAAAAATATATGCTGTAGTCCTACTCACTGTAGATTATACTATTGTTAACAGCCTGGCTACCTTCCAAACTTAGATGTTGGATCAGAGTAATTCTGGAGCCTTGTGAATACAGTAGCCCATTCATTGAAACCCTTAGGTCCACGTCCCAAACCTAGCTCTTTTTCCACAGGCCACTGGCCCAGCCTATTTCATTTTATTTCACTTTGCATTTGGCAATAGACTTGAGGTGTGTACAGTGAGAAACCTCCCTATCCCTGACTCAGCTGTCTGGTTCTCTCTAAGAGGCAGCTGTTGGGACCAGTTAGGTAGCCTGCTGGAGAGTCAGCTGCCATGTAAGCATATATATGCAGACGCTTTCTATTTAACACAAAATACAGCATACTAGATGCACCTCGCTTGTCTCAGTATCTTGGCAATCTTTTTTTGTCATCTGTTTGTCCAGAGGAAATCTCATCATGTAAGTAAAAATGATATTGCTCTTGATAAATGCTGCGGACTATTTAGTTGACTGGGTATTGCATAATTTGTACAGTAAACTTTGGTGCCCTTTCAGTGTGTGCCACCGGATAGCCTTGGAATACAAGAAGTGAACCAAGCTTTTCCTCATGGAGCTTAAGTTCTTTAGAGAAATGACTGACTCAGTATCAGGTCAGTACGGAGAAGAATGAAGGCAGGGTAAGGGAGAGGGACTCGGCGGCTGGATTACAAAGGGTGGCCCCAGGCCTCTGCCAGGGACATTTGAGCAAGTGAAGGAACAAGCCACGTTGGCCTCTGAGAAAAGAGTTCTAGTCTGAGGACACAGAAAATGCAGAGGCCCGAAAGTGGTTTGTGCTTTGGAGGGCAAAGGGCAGAGCGCCTGGGAATGGGGGTGCAGGATGGAGAAATGGGCCTTGACAGGCCTTGGAAAGCACCCACTTTTTTACCCTGGAGGTTTGCTTTTATTTTTTATTTTTTAAAGATTTATTTTCGTTTTTCAGTAGGATTTTCATTCTGTTTCCCAGGCTGGAGTGCAGTGGCACACTCACGGCCACCGCAGCCTCGACCTGCTGGGCTCAGATAATCCTTCCGCCTCAGCCTTTCAAGTAACTGGAACTACAAGTGCATACCACCATGCCCGGCTAATTTTTTTATTTCTTGTAGAGACAAGGTCTTGCCAAGATGCCCAGTCTGGTCTCGAACCCCTGGACTCAGGCAGTCCTCTCGCCTCTGCCTTCCAAAGTGCTGGGATGGTCAGTCATGAGCCACTGCACCCAACTAGGACTTTATTTTTTTTAAATAGTTTTAGGTTCACAGCAACATTGAGAAGAAGGTAGAGATTTCCTATAAACCCCTTTCCCACACATGCATAGATGTTCTCATTATCTCCCACCAGATTGGTATGTTTGTTAAAAACGATGAACCTGCATTTACACCATTGTCAGCCAAAGTCCGTCACTGACACTACAGCTCATCCTTGGTGCTGCACATCCTGTGGGTATCATGGCACGTGTTCATCATTAGAGCATCGGACAGGGTGGTTTCACTGCTGGAAGGAACCCTCCCTGCTGTATCCTTCGTCCCTCCAACCCTTGGCCCCTGACAGCCAGTGATCTTTTTACTATCTCCATGGTGTTGCCTTTTCCAGAATATGATAAAGTTGAAATACAGTATGTAGCCTTTCCAAATTGGCTTCTTTCACCTAGTAATATGCATTTAAATTTCTTTGTCTTCTGATGGTTTGAAAGGCTCCCCCTTTTTTAGTGCTGAATGACATTCCATTGTCTGGTGTACCACAATTTATCCATTCAACTACTGATCTTAGTTGCTTCCAAGTTTTGGCAATAATGAATAAAGCTGCCGTCAACATCTTTGTGCAGGCCTTCGTGCAGACATGTTTTCAGTTCTTTGGGGTAGATACCAAGGAGCATGACAGCTCGATTATTGGTAAAGAGTATGTTTTGCTTTATAGGAAACTGCCAAACTGTTCCAAAGAGGCTGTACAATTTGACATTCTTTTTTTTTTTTTTTTTTGAGTTGGAGTCTCACTCTGTTGCCCAGACTGGAATGCAGTGGCTGCTTCTGGCCACTGCAGCCTTGACCTACTGGGTTCTGGCGATCCTTCCACCTCAGCCTTCCGAGTAGTCGGAATTACAGGCATGTGCTACCATGCCCAGCTAATTTTTTTTTTTTTAATTGTAGAGATGAGGTCTCGCCAAGTTGCCCAGGCAGGTCTCGAACCCGCGGGCTCAGGCAATCCACTCAGCCTCCCAAAGCATGGGATTACAGGCTGAGCCACCGAGCCCGGCTTTTAGCCCATATTTTGATCGGGTTGTTTTCTCCCTGGAGGGATTTTGAGCAAAGGAGTAACAAATGGAACCAGTTTCCTGTTGATGGACTGGAGGGTTGTTTCTATAAGTACCGTTTCACTATTGCAGGAATAACCTTGTATGATACATCATTGCCCAGGTGATGAACACACACAGGTTGGATAATCCCCAGGTATTGCATTGTTGGGTCACAAGGTACGTGCATTTACATATTTGCTAGGTGTGGTTGGTTTGCCTTGGTGGTAGTGTGTAGGTATGCCTGTCTTCCTGTACATGCCGACATGAAGGACTATCAAACTTGGTGATCTGTCTGTCTGCATTGGGTCTCTTGTTACCAAAACTGGAGTGCAGTGGCGTGATCACAGCTCACCGCAACCTCAACCTCCTGGGCTCAATCAAGTGATCCTTCCACCTCAGCCTCCTGAGTAGCTGCAACTACAGGCACACACCACCACACTCAGCTAATTTTTGTATTTTTTGTCTAGACAAGGTCTCACTATGTTGCCCACGCTGGTCTCAAACCCCAGGCTCAGGCAGTTCTCTCGCC